CCTCTGTCAGAAGAGACATGCTGAAGACCCTGTCGACCAAGGAATTTTGGTTGATAGGTCCAGGAGAAGAATCTTTTCTGCCATGGCTCCCTCCCTATGCCCTTTAAGATGAGATTCTCCCCCATCTTCTTGGCCTTCTGAAAGGGCCTGAAAACCTAACTCTGTCAACTGCCTTGCTGCCTGAAAGAGCGTCCCCTTTTGGAAGTGATTAATGCAGGGGTCCCCAAACTTGGCAACTTTAAGACTTGTGGACTTCAACTCCCAGAATTCTGGAAGTTGAGGTCCACAAGTCTTAAAGTTGCCGAGTTTGGAGACCTCTGGATTAATAAAAGAAGATCTCACCAATCTCACCTTCCCTCCGTTTTTGTATTGGTGCCTTTTAATCCAGTTCATTGTTAATTTTAATGTTTAATGTTTAATGCTCAGTATTTTAATGCTTTTAATGTCCTAATTATTTTATACTGATATTCTACATTGTAAGCCATCCAGAGTCTCTTGACAAGAGAAATGGGCGGCATATAAATTTATTAAATAAATATTTATACCTCTTACCATAGTTAAAGTAACCTTCGATCACTTATTTAATCCAGTTTTAAGGATTTGTAAAGTACAGTCAGTCAAGCTAACCACAGACTTAGTTCACATAATATGCTGAGCTGATCTTTGCTTGTGTAACTAATGGCTCAATACGTTAGTCAAACAGACTGTAATTTACATTCATATTAGGTTTAAAATGTAAGTCAAAAAGCATAGAATCTTCAAAGATTCCATGGCATTCAATTTTCTGAAGAGCCATGTTGAAGAGACATAAGGAGGGAGTGTGAGCTTTCACATTGACCAGCTGGGATGCTAAAATGTATTGCGCAGATATAAATATCCTTCCCAGGCTGATACTTTCCAAAAGAATTGGACTTTAACTCCATAATACACAGCTAAGCTGTTTTATCAAAACCTTCTCACAATTTAGTCCTGTTGTGTATGTAAGATTTTTCTTCAAGGATTTTATTTAAGATTTGTGATCTTTAATTAGTTTATTTTCAAATGTTTGTGTTAATTCCACTCCAAGTTGATTTTAACTTTATGGATATTTTTTTTTTAAAGATCCCCTAAGTGTTGAAAATAAGATACCGTATATACTCGAGTATAAGTCGACCCGAATATAAGCCGAGGCACCTAATTTTACACAAAAAACTGGGAAAACTTATTGACTCGAGTATAAGCCGAGGGTGGGAAATGCAGCAGCTACTGGTAAATTTCAAAAATAAAAATAATTAATTTGGGAAACGATCTCACTATCATGAAAGGTTTAATTGATTCACTAACCCAAAAGAAGAAGATGATGATGACAGCGGGAGGCAGGAGTCACTCTCTTCCCCTCCCTCGGAGGCCCCCTGAGTCAGGAGTCACTACCGCCGGCGCGGCCCCAGTCCTGCCGCCTCGGGAAGGGAAAGGCAAAGCACTTTTTGCCTTTCCCTTCCCGGCTGGGGCTGTTGGGAGTCGCTGCCGCCGGAGGCCGCGACTCCACACCATTTTTTTTTTCAGAGGGGAATCTGACTCGAGTATAAGCCGAGGGGGATTTTTTCAGCACAAAAATGGGCTGAAAAACTAGGCTTATACTCGAGTATATACAGTAACTGATTTGAACAAAGTCAAATGAATTATGTTTGCTTTTATTCACTCACAAGACAACAGTTTTGACAGCATTTTCTATTTCAAGTAGACATAAATCAATGTGAGATGCTTTCCCAGATTATGTTATTTCACCAAGCAAGTACACACTGTCCTGTTAAATGAGATGTAGAAAACTGTCATTTAAAATGTGTTTTGCAAAATGACCCCAAATTCCTAAGAAAATTGTCTAACATGCTGATCACAAGCTAGACAATGCTACACATGCTACACAAGATTATAAAGGACAGCTTTTTAAATTTAGTGCCTTGATTCTATCTTCAAAAAAGTTAATTACTTCATGGGATAGCTAGCACATTCTATTGTTGTGAGTTAAAGCAGACATAAGCAAATTTTTTGCAGCCGGGCAACTGCAGTTGTTTTAATAAAATAAACAGTCCTTTTGCAGAGGCTTGGCCCCCGCCAGAGAGTACAAGATGAAAAATTTTATATCCTTTTGATGGGGTGGGGGGTGGAGTTAGTGGTGGGATTCAAATAATTTAACAATCGGTTCTCTGCCCTAATGACTGGATGGGCTTGGCTGGGTGGGCAAGTGACTGGGTGGGCAGGGCCAACTTGATTGGCCTCACCCTTAGGAAATTTCTCCTTAGTCCAACTCACAATAAAATAGCACAATAAAATAGCAGTGTTCCAATATTTAGAATAGAATAGAATAACAGAGTTGAAAAGGACCTTGGAGGTCTTCTAGTCCAACCCCCTGCTTAAGCAGGAAACCCTACACCACTTCAGAAATGGTTATCCAATCTCTTCTTAAAAACTTCCAGTGTTAGAGCATTTACAATTTCTGGAGGCAAGTTGTTCCACTGATTAATTGTTCTAACTGTCAGGAAATTTAAGGGGCTCCTACAAAAATGAGGGAGTCAGTCTATTTTCCAAAGCACCAAAAGGCACAACAAGAAACAACGGATGGAAACTAACCAAAGAGAGAAGCAACCTAGGACTAAGGAGAAATTTCCTAAGGGTGAGACCAATCAACCAATGGAACAGTTTGCCATCAGAAGTTGTGGGTGCTCCATCACTAGAGGCTTTCAAAAAGAGTGAGGGAAGTACACCCCAAAGGTCAGTGCCAGAAACCACTAAAACAATGCAGAAAACTTAAAACAGCCATTCCCCTTTTTAAAAACAAAAAAAAAGTCAACTCACAATTCATCAAGAGATTCAGTCTGTCTCATGTTAGTTCAACAGGGATTTTTTTTAAAAAAAACTCACCATATCCACGTTTACATAAAATTTCAATTAGCAAGAATGCCCAGCATATAATTTAGCAAGCATGTCCAGCAAGTTAGCAGCATTTTATTAATCATGACCAAGAAAGTTAAGAAGCATCAGATTTGGTTATTATTCAGGTGGAAGATCATCAAGACAAAACAGAGCTGTAAGTTAAATTGGGGAGTCAAAACATGTCCTGCAAAAATGACTAACCAATGACTAACCATGTCTATATTGTTGCCAAAAAAAAAACCTAGATGGATGTATCAATGCAATCACTAGACATCAAACTTCATCTGAGCTAAATTTTATGTTGCTATCATTTTTATCCATATCATTTTAACTTGCTACTTTGTTGCTTCCATTTAATATATATGTGGATATGTCCACATATATCTGTATAACATATAACATATATAATATAGGGGAGGCTGTTTTGTGAATTGCTGTTAGTAGGCTAAATACAATTTTTTTGTATTTCATTTTACTTGGACTTTAATGTTTGTCATCCCCATCCTATTCTCATGAAGACTATGTACTAGGGCCAGGAAAAATTGTCACATATTGCAGAAGTACAATTTGAAGGATCCTCCATCACTGGCCATGTCATTCAAAGTTCCCCATTTCTAACACAGACATATTTGTAATTTGGCTCTGATGAGGTAATTGCATTCCACAAACATTTATATCATAATGTGTTTAAACTATATGTAATGACCACTTCTTATGTTCATCAGGCTAGGCCCTTCACAAAACAGTAAAGTCCTTTTTGGGTTTGGATTTTAACACCACATCTCAGGTAAATACTTTCTAAATAACAAGAACTGCCTGGTAGACAAGACCCTGGAGAGTGAGCATTTGTTTGTTTTTGAAAGCACTCCATGGACAACAGCCACCAGAAGGTGTTGCCCTTAACTAGCCCCAATGGAGTTGGGTCAGATGAGATCTCCTCTTCCCTTCACAAGAATACATGAACCCATGAAAGAAAGTTTTCATATATAACACCATTTTCTAGGCCAAGAAAAAGCAGAAGGCATACAAAATGAGAGTAGTTATTTATATAATATACAGGTTACTTCTTGGATTATTTGTCCCATACTTTTTTGCATTTTGCAGGTGAATAGGCTTAAAGTCACTTTCCAATCAGGAGTCTGGGGTTCCCATATTCTTCCACTATTCATTTATTTCATCACGTTAAACTATTTTTCAATCTGTCCTTTACTTTTCAGAACATCTTGTTTCTGGCATCAGTTTTTGTTTACGTAAAGCAGAACATCTCTTGAACACCTATTTATCTTTGAAGGATAAACAGTTAATTCCCAATCTCTTTCCAAAGATTGGGAAACACATCTATATTGCTAAGAAAATGCAACAAGATGTGAGGGCAGGAGAAATACAAGCAGCACAACTAATCTTCATCCACAATTTTTCTGAATGTTTAATGTCCAGTTCCTTTAAAAAGTTATCCAGAAATACAATAACCTGTGGTAAATTAAATGGATTGGACATGATTTGGAAAGGCACACACCTCTCTGTAGAAGGGGGTCTGAATACTTTCTGAATGTACCGTATGATGGTAAATGGGAATGGAATTTATGTTGCTAAACAATGTAGTTGTAAAGTGCTTAGCTTACTGATGACAATCTCAGCACTCCCTATTGCCATCATTTACCAAATCCTATTAGTCATTCGTCCAGGGCCCACGTCAATCTTAGACATTCCTGGCTTTGTCCCTCCCAGGCCTTAGTCTTAGTAAGGTAAGTGTGCTGCTTCAGGTTTCATTTACACATTTACAGAGTTCCTATGGAGATTGGCAATTTACTTCAAGATTAAACAAATAATAGCAGACAAGAGAGGATCATGAATCAACCCCAAAGTCTCTGAAAAAGCAAGCCTGCTTAAATGGTTTGGCTTTCGGCAGAGAGAAATCCAAAACCCGAGTTCAGAGAGCCAAATCAGGTTAACCAGCCAGTCCAGGCTCAGAATTTCATGAGCAGAATCCACAGGAACATCACACAAGAGTTGGAGATTGGTCAGTTGTTTCCAATGCAGAAACATGGGTCAAAGCAGTCTCTGAGGTCAGGCTGCAGTCAGCTGTCTTCCATTACGAAGGCTTCTCCCTCACAGAAGCCTCTGTGAGCGCTTTTGTCCTTCTCTGTACTCAATGCACTATGTATGGGGACATGGGGACCAAAGACCAAACTCCAACCACTCTTGCTGCCCTATGCTCCACAGGCTCTGCCGTGATCAATTAACCTTTGTTATCTTTCTCTGACTGCTGGCAAGGAGTACCCAGTCTGGCTCTATGTGATGCAACTGTTGACTTCTTCCAGCCGCTCTTCCTCAAGATGTGACAACAGGGCTTTGGAACTCAGGTTGGCAGAATTGCTGGGGGATGTGCTATGGCAGCTGGCTGCAGCATGGATTTGAGGCAATACTCTGTGCCTCTATCAGAAGTAGAAACCACGGTGGTGATGGCAGATAGAGAAGATTACTGAAGGCTAGGGGCCTCTACTTCAGCCCCAGGACACTACTGCCAAGTGCAACTGTGTAGAGCAGCCAAAAGGGCAAAAATAGAGGGGCAGGAGCGGGAATGGAAAAGTACCTATGGTCATTAGTGCAGATATACTGCCCAGCACCTAAATGTCGATCACATGACTACCAAGGGGCTTCAATTGCTATAACTTTGGGTATGGACATTTAATTAGTTCTCCAGTGCCTCCATAATTTTGAAGAGCTGCTCAATGAATGGACTACTTGTTTATCAGTGTTTACAATTAATCCTGGTAACACTTTTCAAATAGTCACACATAGTCTCAAGGGCAATAGTCCCCTGATCAATTATTTTCTAATAAAAGCATCCAGATATGCCCATTGGTGCTTGCAGGCATTGTGCTCTATGCATGCAGGTTCTTAACTTACTGATTAGTTTCTAATAAATTTTTTATCTTGAATTAGATTGCAGCCTTTTATCTAAAGAAAGAAACAGAGGTTTATTAGCCAAGTGTGATTGGACAAACAAATTCCTTGTTTGTCCAATCACACTTGGCTAATAAAGTATTCTACTCTACTCTACACTACACTACTCTATTCTATTAATTTCTTTTTACCATTACATAAAACATTGGTTTTGTCCAGAAGAAAGATTGGTGTAGAAAATTTCAGGATCATGCAGAATCTAAAATATTTAAAGTGTGCATCATACGATGTCGCATTATATTAATTTATTATGTAATTTGACTTGTTGCCTAAAACACACCTAACAGTATTGTAGTAGTTAATGCTACATTGTTGTGTATTGTTTGCATGCAACATGCAAATAGTATAGGTTTAAATAGTATAGGTTTAAATTAGACTATCTCATGGTTTAAAAGTAATGACAACCTGCCCCACCTCTTTTCAATATAGGAAGAAACAATTTTAGAGAAACTGTCATCATTGCAGGAGGACAGTTTCGTTAGTCTGTGGCAACAAAAAAAACAAGTATCTGAAAGCATTTCCAAAGCTTTCCAACTATCCAACATAAAATAAAGTATTTCTTATGCCTTTTAATAAAATTTTCTTATTTGGAAAGATTCCTCCTGATTTTGTACTCCCAACATCACATTTTATGCTAAACATATATTGTTTAGCTATAGTCTGTTGAATATGCCTGACTGCACAATAAAATGCTATGCTGCACAATAAAACTGGCTATCAAGTCAAAAGGGCTGAATTCACAAAGTACGTAAAACAGGCTGTATAATCTTGCAACAATAACCAGTCAGGAATTGTTAGGGCACTTTTTATTTGTATCTTATTCTCCACTTTTCTTTTTCATTACAGAATTTTTACAAGCCAAGGCTGTAAACATAGGTATTACAGGGAATCCAAATGCTTTGAAATATCTGTACAATCAAGGTATAAATAATTGGCAGTTTCTCTAAAAATTGGCAATCTCCAAAGTAACAGAACATATAGGCACAAATTACTAAATAATAATAATAATAATAATAATAATAATAATAATAATAATAATAA